CACATGCACAAGTAAAGCTAGGGGCAGTCGCAGAGGGCAAGTGAGGAGGAGGAGGAACTGTGGAAGGAGAGAAGATGGGAGGCAACGACTGAAGCTGCAGAGGCACGGGCACAGGAGCGGCTGACTCAGTGGCTACCGAAGCAAGGGCGACGGACTACTGGAGTAACTGGCTCCGCGGCTATAGACGAGCGGCAGGAACAATGGACCCACTGGCGACTGGTGCAACAGGCTCACTGGCTACCGAAGCAAGGGCGACGGACTACAGGCGCTGCAGGCGACACGACCGCTACCTCCACACAACCTCCTCCAACTGCCCCACACCCTCGACACACACCCCCTGCTGAACCCCTAACTCCACTCCTACAGCACCCCCCTTAAACCCTAAACCCTAGGCTCCCACACACCCACCCCCCTCAGCGGCAGCTGCAGCAGTGGGAGACCAGGGAGGAGGAGGAGCAAGGGGAGTAACACACAACCGCCACCCCCACACTCCTCACCCCCAAACCCTAATTCAGGAGAACGGGCAGCAGTAGGGGTGGGGCACCGTCAGAAGCACGGGGGACAGCGAGCAGCTCAGGGACAGAGAGGAACGGGCCGCCCACGGGCCTGGCACAGCCCGACGAACCGCGCGCAGGCGGCCCGAGCCGCGCGCGGGCCGGGCGCAGCCCGTACGGGCGACGGGGGACGACGGGCTGGTCCCCGTCGCCCGTCGAAGCGCCCCCCGGGGGCGACGCGCGGACCGACGGGGCAGAAGGCCGCCGCGCGCCTCGGGGCGCACGGCGGGCAGAGAACCGCCGCACGCCCCGGGGCGCACGGCGGGCAGAAAACCGCCGCGCGCCTCGGGGCGCACGGCGGGCAGAAAACCGCCGCACGCTCCGAGCGCGCGGCGGGAAGAGAAATCCGTCGCACGCCACGGGGCGTGCAACACACAGAGTAGCAGCGGAAGCAGCAGTAGGGCCCACAGGCCAGGAGCGTGAGTGCTCTGAAACCATGTGAAAATGAAACGAGGAATGAGTAGGAGCCATAGCTAGGTAAGCCCTAGCTAGGCAAGAGAGAATAAGCAAAGGAGGATGTTCACTAGAAAGCAGCAGGATACATATAGGAAACCCTAGGGGGTTGTACTCGCTATAGAGTACCCCACTGCAGGCTAGAGAACAATAACATTCTGACAAAATGCTCATGGCCTATGCTTTAGTGGCTTTTTATTCTATCTCTTCGCATGATCTAATCGCTTCGCGGACGATGGAAATCGCACGACCTGAATTACCAAATAAGGCAAACTGTGCACATTTTGAGCCCTTGTTCCTTCAGGAGGGTGTGGTTGGGACTCCTCTACGACACTGTTTTTTTGGCGCTTTGTTTTCTGGTAACCAGCCTGCCTCGGGAGGTAAACTTTGGGTTCGGTAGGCAAACTGTGCACAGTTTGCCTTCCTTTTTTTGTAATTCAGGTCTTGGGTTTTAAGTTTATGATGTGGAAAGTTGCTAGATAAATTGAACAATCGAGGTAACACGCACAAGCTTGCGTCAACACTCGCCAACATGTGACTGTTGGCAGGAGCCCGTAACTTGCGCCTCGGAATCTGAATTAGGTCTCTTAGGAAAACAGTGGCGAATTCAATGCCTTTCTCAGCTAGATGTTTGTACGTACTTCCTAAATATTTGTCGCCGGATGTCCGTTGCTGAGTATATCCCACGCTTCCTGCTCCTAGGCGTCAGTGGCAGTTAAGAATGTACCAGACGCGAAACGACAGAAAGGCGCCGCCGGAAAACGCGGAGGAGGGCATTACTCAGGAACGATTGGGTAAGACTAATTTTTGTTGCCGTTGCTCCTGGTATCACCACCCCTAAACACCCAGCTCAAGTGAACAGTTTAGAATGCTCAAGTCTCCCCAAACCCCCAACAACCGCCCCTTTTCCTTCTCCCTTTCTGCCATTCTCTCCCTTCCCTTCGCACTTCCTTTTTTTTCCCTTCTTCCATGCAAGACTGGCGTTCCTGGCAATAACCAAGCCGTTGCCAGCAGCGCTAAGAGAAACACTTAGCGAGGCGTCTGGTGTGAGGGAGGCGCTTAGTCAGAGCTGGAGGTAGTCGTCTGTTTGTGGTGGCCTTAAAATAGTCATCCCTGAAATTCTGATGTGGCGCTTTTTTTTTCCTTTATTTGTCCTCCCTTTTTTTTTTTCTGTAAATAATATTTTCTTACTTTCAGTCCAGGCAAGACTGGCATCACTGGGGGCAGCAGAGCCACTGGCAGCGTCACTAAGAGAAACACTTAGCGAGGCATCGGGTGTGAGGGAGGCGGTGCGGCAGGAGGGAGCAGTGCAGGCGGAGCTGGGGGAGGTCGTATCTGAGGTGGTTCGATTCCAGGAGCAGCACCGGAAATGGGCGTCTGCATTCGATGAGCTTCACACTGCAATCAAGGTAAGCCCCTGAATAAGGCAATCAAGGTGGGAGCTGGGGTGGGTGGTAGTATCTGAGGTGGGGCGGCTCCAGGAGCAGCACATTCAGTGGGCCACAGCATTCACCGAGCTTCACACAGCTGTCAAGGTAAGCCCTTATATTATGCAAGCAGTACTGGGGGAGCTGGGGGAGGTGGTATCTGAGGTGGGGCGATTCCAGGAGCAGCACAGAAAGTGGGCTACAGCATTCAATGAGCTTGACACAGCAATCAAGGTAAGCCCGAGAAAAGGCAATTAAGGTCGGAGCTGGGGGAGGTGGTATTTGGGGTGGGGGGGTTCCAGGATCAGCACCGGAAGTAGGCCACAGTGTTCAATGAGCTTCACACAGCAATTAAGGTGATCTCCTATGTAAGGTAATCAGAGGCTGGCGGAGCCGGGGTAGGTGGAGCTGGGGGTAGGTGGTATCTGAGGTGGGGCGGTTTCAGGAGCAGCACCGGAAATGGGACGCAGCATTTGATGGGCTTCACACAGCAATCAAGGTAAGCCCTTATACAATGCAAGCATTGCAGGCAGAGCTGGGGAAGGTGGTATCTGAGAGCTGGGGGAGGTGGTATCTGAGGTGAAGCAGTTCCAGGAGCAGCACTGAGATTGACCTACAGCTTCTAACAAGCTCCATACAGCAATCAAGGTAAGCCTGAAAAAAGGCAATTAAGGTCAGGGGAGGTGGTATCTGCGGTGGGGGAGGTCATATCTGAGGTGGGGGAGGTGGTATCTTTGGTGGGGCGGTTTCAGGAGCAACACTGAATGTGGGCCACAGTATTCCACATTCGTTATTTAAAGCTGCTAACCTCTTATTGCTGTCTATGAAGCTTCAATGTTACACTCAACACAATGGATTGGATTCCCCTCCCCCCCTCTTCCCCCCCCCCTCTTGGATTGGATTCATTCCTCAATGTGAACACCATGTGGTTTACTGTGGTGGTGCTTTGATTTGTTTCCATGCAGGAAATAGGAGACTTTGAGAACTGGATGAAGGTAATGGAGAGAGATATTGCTCTAGTTACAACCACGATAGAAATAGTCACTCGTTCACGAAACAAACCATGATAATGTTTGATCTCTTCTGCTTGAAGCATAATGAATACAGTCACTCATTTACAAGAAAAATTGCTTAGGCTAGTAGGTATAATTACAGCAGTTTGGCAAAAATTTAGCAAACAATCAGGCACCCTCGTCCCTGCAATATTTTTGTGGTTCGCTTTGCACGCCATCCCTTCATGCAGTAACCACTCAAAGAGCCTGGCATCTGGTTACCTGAGTGCTGTTTCACTACCCCTCCGTTCCATCCCTTCCCATCCCATCCCATCCCATCCCATCCCATCCCATCCCATCCCATCCCATCCCATCCCATCCCATCCCATCCCATCCCATCCCATCCCATCCCATCCCATCCCATCCCACACTACAGAAGTCTTCAACAGTGCTGCAGTAACCACATCACTGTCCATCTGGTTACCACGAGTGCTCGCATCAAGCACTTTCCCTGCGATTCCAATCCCATCCCATGCCATGCCATCAGTTCTGCAGCACTGTAGTAACCATCCATGCATCCCGCATCTGGTAACCGGGTAACCATCCTCCCACTATCCCTGACCTTCTCATCCCATGCCATCAATTCCCCAGTCCTGTGGTAGAGCCAACCATCACCGCCATCAGTTGTTCAGTCATGTGGTAACCATGCAATATGCGCATCTGGTTACCAAGTGCCATCCTCCCATCCCATCATTCCTGCGGTTCCCATGCCATCATGGCCAATAGGGGGTTGCCCTTCCACGTCAGCACCACACTCGCTTCGTCTGCTCTCCGCACGTCATGCCCCACCTTGTTGTACCTGCCACATGTCATCATGCAATGCCACGTGTCAGCATGCAACAGGTGAATCAAATCATTCCTAGAGCCCATGGAAGATGGATCAGACAAAGATGTCGCAATTCGCAGTTTTGAGACGTCTCAAAACTAGGTTATTTTTTTGCGGAAAGATCACACGTGCGATCACACCTGCTCGCTGAAAAAAAATGTGTCATTTTTTGTCTAGAAAAAATGTTCCTTATTTTCTAGTGTACAACGGTAACCACACTCACGTTTGCAACAGTGCATGGTAACCATCCCCTCGCTCAGTCCCCTCCCCACCCTCAGCACCTCTGCTGCCACTGCTCCACCGGCTCTTACCTTTTCCCGTCTCTCACATGCAAATTGTTGAAAATCACTCACGTTTGTCGCAGTGCATGCTGAGCAGCTTAGTTGTAACCATGCCCTCGCCCAGTCCTCTGCTGAACCCCACCCTCTGCATCCTCTGCTGCCACTGCTCCAACTGCTCTTACCTTTGATGTCTTCCTCTCACATGGCAAGTGGTAGCTGTACTCACGTTTGTAACAGAGCGTGCAGGGTGGTAACCACCCCTTCGCTCAGCCCCTGAGGCTTGACCCCGCTCTCTGCATCCTCTGTTCCGACTGAACCACTGGCTCTCATCTTTTCCTGTCTCTCACATACAGAGTGGTAACCACAGTCACGTTTGTAACAGGGCATGCAGGGTGGTAACCACCCCCTCACTGAATCCCCGGGGCTTGAACCCCGCCCTGAGCATCCTCTGCTGCCACTGCTCCAATGGCTCCTACCTTTTCACATCCCTCACATACAGAGTGGTAACCACACTTACCCCATAACCCTACTACCACACTCACGTTTGTAACAGGGCATGCAGGGTGGTAACCACCCCTTCGCTCACTCCCCGAGGCTTGAAGCCCGCCCTCAGCATCCTCTGCTGCCACTGCTCCAATGGCTCCTGCCTCTCCACCCTCTCCTGCCCCTCACACGCCACCAGATTCACAATCGCCCGGCCTAGCACCTGTCAGTCAGGTAGGACGGAAGCAAGGGAAATGAGCGTGTGGGAGGAGCAGTAGGAGGGTAACCAGAGGTGTGGGTGTTCCAATAGCTCCTGCCTCTCCACCTTCGCCTGCCCTTCGCATGCTACTACCAGACTCACGATTGCACGGCCAGCACCTAAAGTTGGAGGGGAGAGGGAAACGGCAATGTAAGAGCAGTGGGAGCAATATAACTAGCAGAAAAGAGTGAGTCCACACGGCCAGCAAGCACGGACGAACGGACAGATGGACGAAGGGACTCACCTGCTCTTCGAACACTCGTCTCGCGACCTCATTCCTGGGCAGCGATGCATCGATCGACTCGAACAAAGCAGCGTAAAGAGCCTCGTAGAAGCGGGCGAGGAAAAAGGGCGAGGAGTGGTTGCTGTATTGCTCCACCACTGTCACCACCTTGGGCCTCAGCAAGCCGGCTTTGAGACGCCCATGACCAGCACACACGGACGGACAGACACACAGACACTCGAAACGCACCTGCTCTTCGAACACTCGTCTCGCGACCTCGTTTCTCGGCAACGACGCGTCGATCGATTCAAACAACGCAGCATAGTAGTAAAGTGCTTCATAGAACCGCGCAAGGAAGAAGGGAGAGGAGTGGTTGCTGTATTGCTCCACCACCGTCACCACTTTAGGCCGCAGCATCCGGATCGTACGCAGCACTCTCATGCGTGGGGATTCCTCCGAATCCGAGCTCATTGAATCCGCCTTCCCCAGATACAACCTGTCTGGATCCGCCCCTCCCACATCTGTTCTCCCTGCATCTGGTCTACTCAAAAGTGGCCCAGAAAGAGGCTCGGAAAGTGGCTCGGAAGGAGGGTTGGCGAAGACTGCGTTAGCTGCGGTGGCAGGGTTGGCAGCAGAATTGGGCTGCTCTGATTCGTCGAGGAGTTGGGAGAGGCGGAGGGCGCAGTTGGCAGCAATGGCTTCCCCTGGGTGCAGGTTGAGCATTGAGGGGGTGACGTCTTCGAGACGAGACATCACCCAGTGGTAGCGCAGAGGTACCCCCCACATGGCTGCTGCTGACTGGTGAGGGGAGGGTGGAAACAGCGGAAAAGGAAAGGGTGAGAGGAGGCGAGGAAGAGGGCATTGGGCTGCTCTGATTCGTCTAGCGACAGAGGCGATATGAGTGGGGCACGCCTCATTCAGCACTGAGGTGATTTTTGAGGCGCCTCAAAAATCACCTCAGTGCTCGAGGGTCAGAGGAGGCGAGGGAGAGAGCGCATTTGGCTGATCTGATTCATCCAGCAGTTGCGAGAGGCAGAGGCGATATGAGTGGGGCGCATCATTGAGCCAACACTGCATTGTAGGCCATGCCTCTGCGTGCTATACATGTCCTAAGGGACTCACCTCCAGCTTCTTCCCTGCCTTCATGGCACAGTAGGGTGACATGGCCCCGCACTGAGGCACCTCTATGCCCGTCACTCGCAAGTGAGGCAGGGTGAGAGAGGTGCCGCACTGGTGTGTGGAATATATGCCCCATGGGACTCACCTATAGACTCTTTCCTTCTCACCTCCAGTCTCTTCCCTGCCTTCATGGCACAGTACGGCGACATGGCTCCGCACTGCAGCACCTCTATCCCCGTCACGCGCACGTGAGGCGGGCCCCCCGGCCTAACACCCAGCGCCTGCAGGAGAGCGGGCCACTGCTCGTGCAATGTGAATGCCTCTGTGCGCTATATATGCCCCAGGGAGGGACTCACCTCTAGTCTTTTCCCTGCCTTCATGGCACAGCAGGGCGACATGGCCCCGCACTGTGGTACCTCTATCCCTGTCACACATATGTGCGGCTGGTGGAGATGCCACGCCACCACCATACACTACACTCACCTCCAGCCGCTTCCCTGCCTTCATGGCACAGTAAGGAGACATCGCCCCACACTGAGGCACCTCTATCCCCGTCACGCGCACGTGAGGAGGACCCCCTGGCCTGGCCCCCAGAGCCTGCAGGAGAGCCGGCCACTGCAGTGCGTGACCGATGCCGAAGTCGATGATGTGCACTCGAGGCTCGTCCGCTAGCGCTTCGAGAATGGCGCTGTTGGCTGCTACCTGGCCGAAGGTGAGGAAGGGTGTTGCATTCACCAGCACCTGGGGGGACAGGAGGGATGGCATGGGGCAGGAAAACACGGACTTGGCTAGGCGAAAACGGGAGCGTTGGCTAGCAAGTGAGCACCCAGAGCCTGCAGGAGAGCGGACCACTACAGAGCGTGGCCGATGCCAAAGTCTATGATGTGCACTCGAGGCTCGACCGCTAGCGCTTCGAGAATGGCGCTGTTGGCTGCGACCTGGCCAACAGTCAGGAAGGGTGTTCCATTCACCAGCACCTGAGAGGAACCGGGATGGCATGGGGAGGTGGAAACGGACATGGGCAGTCAAAAACGGAAGGGAACGAGCAGTGTTAGCTAGTAGCAAGAGAGCCGGCCACTGCAGTGTGTGGCCGATGCCAAAGTCAATGATGTGGACTCGAGGCTCGTCCGCTAGCGCTTCGAGAATGGCGCTGTTGGGTTCACTTCACCAGCACCTGGGAGGGGCGGGGAAGAGAATGACAGGCGCGGAATGACAGGTGCAGAATGAAAAGCGCAGAATGACAGGCGGGGAGAGGACAGGCGCCAATTATGATTTTATATATCAAGGTGCTTACCTGGAACAATTCCAGCAGTGTGCGGTTGCAGTCGACATTGGAGGGAGAAACCGGAGCAGGCACGCCCCTATAGACCGGAGGAGCCACCAGCCTCGTGGATTCCCGCAGCATGACGAGAAAAGAACAGACAGACAGGTGCTCACCTGAAATGACTCCAGCAGTGTGCGGTTGCAGTCTACATTGGGGGGAGAAACCGGAGCAGGCACGCCCCTATAGGGCAGGGGAACCACCAATCCTGTGGCTTCCCCTGGCATAAAAACTGTCCCCCTACTGGAAATCAGAGCAGCTTCGTTTGGAGTCAACTCCCCCGCCTCTTGCCTCTGCTCAAACGGCCGCCCTCCCTGCTCTCCTTGCTCTAGAAACGGCCCACCTTCCTCTAGAAACGCCTCCCTTAGCTCCTGCACATCCCCTCCTGCAGCTGCAAACCCTTGACCGAAACCCGCACCATCCCCTCTCCCCTCCCTACACTCCTCCTCCTCCTCCTCCTCCTCCTCCCCCCTTTCCGCTCCTCCCGCCCGTTCCTCCCCGCCAAACCTCCCCATAACCCCGGAAGTTGCATCGAACCTGTGAAACAGGTTCGGGGGGTGCTTCGGCGGAGCCCCGGCAACCCTAGCAATCAGCCCTTCAAGAAAATACGCAGAGAGCCTCTGAGTAACCGTCCCGTAGACTGAAGCCACTTCATTAAGGCTTGAGAGCAGCTGATGCACGCGTGCCTGGTCGCCTGAGACGATGGCCTTGGCGACTGAGACGAGGAGGGCGATTGGGTCTCCCTTCTTGGCGCATTCTCCCCATGAGTCGGGGCCAATGCAGCACGCTGATTTCTGTGTGCCAAGCTGGTTGTTTAGCTGCTCCGGCGCTGGTGCTGCTGCTTCTGCTCCGTCCCCGACTCCTGCTGCTCCTGCTGCTGCTGCTAATCCTCCTGCTGCTGCTTCTCTCGAAAATATATAATCGCCAGCGTCAGCTGTTCCATTTTGATCCGCTGCTACTAGCTGCGGATCCCTAGCAGCAGCATTAGCTGTACCCGCAGCAATAGCAGCAGCATCAGAACCAGAAGCAACAGCAACAGCACCAGCACCATCAGCATCAGCGGCACTTGTAGCAGAGTCACAACACGCACACATGCACACCCCTCCATCCCCTTCCCCATCCCCCCCAACACAGCAGCACCCCTTCTTCTTGCTTTCCCCCTGACTACTCGTCCTCTTCCTCTCCTCCCACCGCTTAGTACACTCCCCATGAAGCTTCCTCAGAGCTTCCTCAGCCTGCCGAGCCTCTTCCGGAGTCACCTTCCCCGCCCAAGCCTGCCTCCCGCCCTCCCCTTCCTCCAGCAGCTTCGGGCTCCAAGGAGCGGTGGCTTCCGAACCTGAACTCGAGGTTCGGAGACTGCCGGTCGCCGCCGAACGTCCCCTGCTGCCAGTCCCGGTTACAGTGGTGGTGGTGGTGGTGTAACCTGTAGTATCTGTGTAAGAATCTCCCTGAGTCAGACTCCCACTGTTAGTGTTATCCATCTCCTTCCCTCGATCCATAAGTTCCTGCACAAAGGCAACCATATCCGCTTCTGCTGAACCGCCTCCTGCCCCTGATGCTGCTCCTGCTCCCCCCATATCATCTACCAGCATATCGTCAGAAGCAACTCCAGTAGCAGCAGCACCGCCAGCAGCAGCAGACGGAAGGGAAGCAGGAGCTAAAGGGGGAGGAGTGGGGGCAAGAGCCACAGGGAACATATCCTCTAACTCCACAAACGCGTTATCCAACCCATCTAAACCGCGCAGAAACTCCTCTACACCCAGATCCGCCCATCCTGACCCTCCATCCAGCCCAACCGCACCTACACCAGCTGCACTACCAATCCCAGCATCAGCAGCAGCACCCAAACCGAAACTGGCACTAGCACCAGCAATAGCACCAGCACTAGAACCAGCACCACCAAGAGAAGCATCTAGGTTCGTTTCTGGGCCAGAATCTGTTGAAACATCCATAGATGTGCCTCCCCCAGTCAACCCCTGCCCTGCACTGCTGGTTCCTGCACTGTTCATATCTGTACTGTTCATCTCTGTACTCGAGTCAACCTGCAGCTCTACAGGCTCGTCCAAACCTTCTTCTAAGAGGTCAGCTAATAACGGGTGCATGGACCCGCTCCCAGGCACACTGTTCACATTCCGACCACTGTCACTGTTACCGTTACCAACAACACCACTTGACATCCTCCCAGCCGTCACTCTGCTCCCAGTTTGCCTGTGAGAACCATCCAGGCTGCCTGCTCCTGATTCTCCTCCTACTCCTGCTGAGGCTACTCCCAATTTGCTGCTGCCTGTAGCATTTCCCTTACTCGCTGAGACGATCACGTTCATAGCCTCCGAAACTCCTCCCCGCTGCCCTCGTCTTTCCGCTCCTGTCCTCACCTCTCTCAAATCCTCTGCACCGAGGCCCAATCCGGTGCCCGAATTCATCACATTCGGGTTGGTACCCAGCAATTCTTGAACCAGAGAATCGAATGTTACTTCTTCCAAGCCTGGCGCCGAGCCTGGCGCCAAGCCTGGTGGTGAGCGTGACGTCCCTGACCCCTGCCGAGCCTCGTTCCGAACCTGTACACCAGACACAGCAGTGCCCACAGACTCCGATGGCGACGACTCCGCATTCACCCCGAGCCTGTTACCCAACCTACGGGAATCCGAACCTGCTTGTCCGGCAGGCCTGGACCCCACGCGCTGCTGTGATCGTCCCGAGCCTAAGCCTGGAAGTCCTGCAAAACGTGCTTGGCCTGCAGAACTTCCCGCACCTGCGGCACCGGCCGGACCTTGGGAACTCCGCGGGCTTCCCGGGCCACTGCCGGGGCTGTAGGTTCGTTTCCAAAGCTGCTGCAGAGACTGCGCGAGGTTTCCTCCCGCGCGGGATGGCCTTTCAGGGGAACGCGTTCGCTTCGGGCGGACGGTGGAGGGGGAAATTCCGTCTGCCGCCGTCGGTGTTCCCGCTGGTTTACGGGGGGAAGGAGAAGGAGGAAAAAGGTGAAACAGGAAACGAGTTAACGTTGAAACATGAAAAAGAACGGACTGCCAATGCTACTCGTAAGAATAACGACCAAGGAACGAACAAAATTTCGGTGGCACCAAAGATAATTAGCGTCATTTTAGGTACAACCACGGGAATTGGTTAAGTTATGGTAAAAAACAGCGTTGTTATACTTAGCGGCCGTCGAAGCGAAGCAGCATCTGGAATCTGGGATTTGAGCCACGCCTTCTGAAGCCGCGACTCAAGGTCCGTGGGTAAGTCAGCGCGGGATTTCGCGAGAGTGGGACCGACGACATGCGGATGGCTGCTACCGTTAACCGTCGGAAGCACTACTTTCTTCTTCTGCTGCGCGTGATGGTCCATTACGTCTCGTCTATTCGTGACTTTTGATGCCGGAAAGGAGTGATCGTGCAACTTTCGAGGATAACGTAGCGTAGCGTCGTAGTGTCGGTCATGAAACATGAGCTGGGAGCGCTAGGAGTCGGAACTACCAGTTACTTGACTGTGGAGGACCTAGAACACACGATGACCTAAAATGCCTCCTCGAGTTTCTGAAGTTGGGCTTCGAAATTCAGGAATTGGAATGGGATGAGGAATTTTCAGATATCAAGTGGGAAAACTTGGGACGTGTTTACATAACAAATATCAAATTGTATTTTGGAGTCAACGCGGGACAAGCTTAAACCTCTGCGACAAATTATCACTTATCTTTGCTAAACACCTCCAGATAGTTTCTGTCATGTTACGTTCTGGATCACGAGTCATGGCAGAACCTTCGAGAGGGAGACGAAGCTTCGGCGACCCCCATGGCTGTGAAATTGTACACACGCAATGCTGTACTACTGTCTATCGAATGCATGAGTTGCATCTTCAATTCGAACCACTCACTAGAAAGGATGTATTGACCTGCCCAACTCCTCTGTCCTACCACGTGTCCCTAGAAGATCGCAGGTGGTGCAAATCGGCGGGAATTGCAGCCAATAACATATTCACTATCTGAAGCATGAACAACCGTTCGATGGATCTACGTGGCGCAGAGTGGCATCGTGTGCAGCAATACCATCACCACGCTCTTGCAGCGCCACACCATAGGCATATCCAAAGGCCCAAGAATATCCGCATTGAACAAAGTTACCGTAATGCACCGCACTCTGACGTGTCAGGTGAACACCCGAAGATTGCGTCAAAAGCATTCCCTAGGGAAGGCTTGCCAGTTTCAGGGTCACGGGCTTTTCGAGACGAGAATCTCCATCAGCGAGAATCTCCGTCAGTGGGCTTTTCAGCTGTAGTAGCCCAGTCTCATAACCAAGAGTCACGGGAGTCTCGATTCTCGAGTTACGGGAGTTCAAAAAGTAGGCGAGTTTTGCGCTTCGTTTACACTGGTCGTGTCGTACCACCTACTTCAGGCGCCTCGTCCAGCAGCCACGTCAGATCGACAACTACTACGCAGCTGATAGTCGCTTGTCGGTATCGGAATCTCGTTAATGAAGGGTTCGCTTTACGAAATGTTGAAGTTCGCATTGGCCAGCCACTTTTGTAACATATTTTGTGCAGCACCTGTAGTGCTTAGTTCGCGCTTTTAGTGCTTAGTGCAACAAAACCGTTCTCTGGTAGCTCGCGCGGTGACTGCTTTGTACAGCTGGCACTTGCACATCCGACAAACTCTCCACACGTTCCAGGAATTCAGCGTGTTAGCGGACTTTCCGCATCGTTTTTTATTATTAATAACGAGTCTATAGATTGCGCTTCTGGACACACTCCGAGCACATACTTATGGCGAGGATGAGCGGTGGGCAGCAGCGCGTGCAGGCGCCGCGACGGATCGGCGAGTACGAGGTTGGCGGCACGCTTGGCGAAGGGACGTTCGCGAAGGTGAAATACGCGGTGCACGCGACGACGGGCGAACCCGTGGCGATGAAAGTGCTGGATAAGGAGAAGATCATTCGGCATAAAATGGTGGACCAGGTATGCTGCCAGGGCTGTGAGGGATGTGCGAGTTGTGAGGGCTGTGAGGGATGTGCGAGTTGTGAGGGCTGTGAGGGAAGGGACAGGCAAACGCATGCAGGTCCTGCTAATGGCACAACGACTGGTGGCGATGAGAGTGCTGGATAACGAGAAGATCATTCGGCAGGAAATGGCGGGCCAGGTAGGGAGTGGGGTAGGACCTCGCATTCCAGCGATTTTTTAGCAATGATGTTCGTCGTTCCACGTTCTGATGCTGATAAGCGAGACCCTGCGTTCCGTTCCGTGGGCCCTAACCTGATTTATTTGATGGCTCTGCATGGGTGTTTGTGTGTGTGCAGATCAAGCGAGAGATTTCTGTAATGAAGCTCGTTCGGCACCCTAATGTGGTGCGGCTGTATGAGGTGAGGGAGAGTACTTTCTGAAAGGGTGGCTTGCAAACATGAATAGGAAAAAGTATGAAATCTGAGCTTCATCCTGACCTCTTCCTTCCCCCCTCTCCCAACCCTTTCAGGTTCTCGCATCTCGCACCAAGATCTATATCATTCTCGAATTCGTCACAGGCGGAGAGCTCTTTGACAAGATTGTGAGTGCAAGCAAAGCCGTCTGGCTACGTTCTTGGTTAATGGGAGCGACTTCACGACTCACAGAGAGAAATGAGATCGATTCTGGTTTATTCTTCTAACCTTGAGAGGCTGAGACCGAGTGTTGAGTCATATTTAGGTTTATTCTAATGCTACCTTTGTGGTGGTGCCTACTTTCTGGGCGCAGGTGAACAAGGGTCGGCTGGAGGAGGAGGAGGCACGGCGGTACTTCCAGCAGCTGATAGACGCCATGGAGTATTGCCACAGCAAAGGCGTGGCACACAGAGACCTCAAGGTGGGTGAGAGCTCACGTAGGCGTCAGGACAGGACAACCCTGCACTCGAGCATACCAAGTGAGGGGGTCACACTCAACTGGAGGGCTCTCAACCTGACCTCTTTTTTCTGCGTTTACCCTGCCCATGCCTTTTTTCGACTCCTCACCTGTCTGCCAGCCGGAGAATCTTCTGCTAGATTCCAAGGATAATATAAAGATCTCGGATTTCGGCCTCAGTGCCCTGCCTCAGCAAGTCAGGGTGAGTCGCTACACAAGGCAATGCCAGTCTGTTTCCCCTTATCAGCTCCATTTGTGATTCGGTGCAACGTCCTTTGCTTCGACGCCTGTTACATTCGCAAATTGCAATTCAAATAGTTATTTAGGCACCTCATAGGAAGTTTGGAGGCGCTACAAAAGGCAATGCTAGCCTGTGCTTATTAGCTACATCTGTGATTTGGTGCCACCTCCCTTACTTCTTCTAACCATCTTGCAAGTGGGTTTGTACTTGTGATTTCTTGGGTTTTTGCAGGCGGACGGTCTGCTGCACACCACATGTGGCACGCCCAACTACGTTGCTCCCGAGATAGGGGGAGGAGTCTGGTTTGGGGCACACACACACACACACACACACACACACACACGCACACACACACGCACACACACACACACGCACACACACACACACGCACACACACACACACACACACACACACACACACACACACCTACTGAGTGAGCAACAGAAGGTGCATCGGGGTTCAGGTGAACATACGGTCATACGGAGACTTTTTAGTTTTGAGACGTCTCAAAACTACGGAGACTTTTTAGTTTTGAGACGTCTCAAAACTACGGAGACTTTTTAGTTTTGAGACGTCTCAAAACTACGGAGACTTTTTAGTTTTGAGACGTCTCAAAACTACGGAGACTTTTTAGTTTTGAGACGTCTCAAAACTACGGAGACTTTTTAGTTTTGAGACGTCTCAAAACTACGGAGACTTTTTAGTTTTGAGACGTCTCAAAACTACGGAGACTTTTTAGTTTTGAGACGTCTCAAAACTACGGAGACTTTTTAGTTTTGAGACGTCTCAAAACTACGGAGACTTTTTAGTTTTGAGACGTCTCAAAACTACGGAGACTTTTTAGTTTTGAGACGTCTCAAAACTACGGAGACTTTTTAGTTTTGAGACGTCTCAAAACTACGGAGACTTTTTAGTTTTGAGACGTCTCAAAACTACGGAGACTTTTTAGTTTTGAGACGTCTCAAAACTACGGAGACTTTTTAGTTTTGAGACGTCTCAAAACTACGGAGACTTTTTAGTTTTGAGACGTCTCAAAACTACGGAGACTTTTTAGTTTTGAGACGTCTCAAAACTACGGAGACTTTTTAGTTTTGAGACGTCTCAAAACTACGGAGACTTTTTAGTTTTGAGACGTCTCAAAACTACGGAGACTTTTTGGTTTTGAGACGTCTCAAAACTACGGAGACTTTTTAGTTTTGAGACGTCTCAAAACTACGGAGACTTTTTAGTTTTGAGACGTCTCAAAACTACGGAGACTTTTTAGATTTGAGACGTCTCAAAACTACGGAGACTTTTTAGTTTTGAGACGTCTCAAAACTACGGAGACTTTTTAGTTTTGAGACGTCTCAAAACTACGGAGACTTTTTCCATCTCCTCACCAGTCCTCCCTTCTAGTCCTCCCCACACTTGACCCCCTCCCAATCTCTCTTTTCTCTCCCTCTTTCCCCTTCCCCTTCCCCCCACCCACACGCACAGGTGCGGAGTCCTGGCAGGCAGACATCTGGTCATGCGGGGTCAAACTCTCTACGTCCTCCTAAATCTTCCTCCGCACCCCCCTCCCCTTATTCCTCCCCCACCGCCCCGCCTCCGCCACACACACGCACAGGTGCTGAGTGACAGAGGGTACAACGGAGTCCCGGCAGATATCTGGTCGTGCGGAGTCATTCTCTCTACATCCTCCTCGCTGGCTTCCTCCCCCATCAACCCCCCTCCCCTCCCATCCTTCCTCCTCCCCCCACACACGCACAGGTGCTGAGTGACAGAGAGTACAACGGAGACCTTGCAGACATCTGGTCGTGTGGAGTCATTCTCTCTACGTCCTCTTGGCACACTTCAAATCTCTTCAGGGCTCTCCTCCTCTCCCCCCCTCCCAGCACACACATTCAGGTGCTGAGTGACAGAGGGTACAACGGGGCTCTGGCGGATATCTGGTCATGTGGGGTCATTCTCTACGTCCTCCTCCTCACCAGTCCTCCTTCCATTCCTCCCGCCCTTCACAAATCCTTCCCTCTCCCCCCTTTCGCATGCACACGCACACAGGCGCTGAGTGACAGAGGGTACAACGCGGTTCTGGCGGATATCTGGTCATGCGGGATCATTCTCTCTATGTCATCCCATATCTTCCTCCACCCCCTCCTCGTTCTCGTCCTCCCCCACCACGCCACCCCGCCCCCGCCGCACACTCTCTCAGGTGCTGAGCGACAGAGGGTACAACGGGGTTCTGGCGGACAGCTGGTCGTGTGGGGTCATTCTCTACGTTCTCCTCGTTCCCGTTCCCCCTCTCTCCTTTCCCGCCCCTCCCCTTCCTCCCCTCACACACACACAACACGCACTCAGGTGCTGAGCGACAGAGGGTACAACGGGGTTTTGGCGGACATCTGGTCATGTGGGGTCATTCTATACTTGCTCCTAGCTGGCTTCCTTCCCCACCAACCCCCCTCCCCTCCCATCCTTCCTCCTCCCCCCACACACACTCAGGTGCTGAGCGACAGAGGGTACAATGGAGTCCTGGCTGACATCTGGTCGTGCGGAGTCATTCTTTACGTCCTCCTAGCTGGATTTCTCCCCTTTGACGAGCCTGACGTTCCTTCGCTCTACAAAAAGGTACTTGGTCTCTCTGTCTCTCACGGCTGCTACATGCCATATGGTCGTGCGGAGTCATTCTCTACGTTCTCCTTGCTGGCTTCCTTCCCTTCGACGAGCCTGACGTTCCTTCGCTCTACATAAAGTTTCATTACTCTGCCTTACACCCCTCACTCCTCACATCCCCCACTGCACCCCTCCCTCACGCTTCCTGGTTTCAGTTCCATGCAGATTTGGCCCTAAGACTTAGCCTTTGGTTTTTTCCACCCCTTTCCCTCTCCTCCACTTCTTTGTTCCGCACAGATCCGAAGGTCTGATTTTGGCTTTCCCACGTGGTTCTCTGCTGGAGCAAAGAGGCTCATCACTGGCATTTTGCAGCCCAACCCCAAACTGGTGAGCTGTCTTGTCTTGTCCTAGACAAAATCGTGGGGTGCCTTGTCTTGTCTTGTCCTAGACAAAATCGTGGGGTGCCTTGTCTTGTCTTGTCCTAGACAAAATCGTGGGGTGCCTTGTCTTGTCTTGATGCGAACGTGCGCAAGCAGAGTCTTGAGACGACTTTTGAGGCGCCTCAAAAGGCACGATTCTGCACAGCCTCCGTACTAAGGCGCCTCAAAAGGCACGATTCTGCACAGCCTCCGTACTAAGGCGCCTCAAAAGGCACGATTCTGCACAGCCTCCGTACTAAGGCGCCTCAAAAGGCACGATTCTGCACAGCCTCCGTACTAAGGCGCCTCAAAAGGCACGATTCTGCACAGCCTCCGTACTAAGGCGCCTCAAAAGGCACGATTCTGCACAGCCTCCGTACTAAGGCAGTTGATGCGAACGTGTGCAATCAGAGTCTTGAGACGGCTCAGAGCATTCCCCACGTGGTTTCTCAGCTGCACAAAGAGGCTGATCACTGGCATTCTGCAGCCCAGCCCTAAACTGGTGAGTTAGCGTGTCTGTCATGTATTGACATTATTGTGCGCACGGTAAGCAGAGTGTGCAGCTTGAGGCACTTACGAGCCATTCAGCCCGAGTTCCTTATGTGGTCCTCAGCTGGAGCAAAGAGGCTGATCACTGGCATTTTGCAGCCCAACCCTAAACTGGTGAGCAAGCATGTCCGTTGTCTTGCATTGCCGAAAGCGTGCGCACAGTAAGCAGAGTTTGTATGAGCCACTCTCCCGGAATTCTCCACGTGGTTTCTGCTGGAGCTAAGAGGCTCATCACCGGCATTCTACAGCCCAACCCCAAGCTGGTGAGCTGCCTTGTCTTGTCCCAGACAATCGTTTTGTTTTTATGGACAGGCATGCAAGCGGAGGAGACTTGAGTCAACTCACAAGTGTTTGCTCTCTTTCGTCCTTCCTCCCAAACCCCAACCCCGCCTGACCTGTGCAGAGCAGAGGTACTGGTATCAGGAAATAAAGAAGGACCCATGGCCCCTGTGCTGGTCCCTGTGCTGGCCCCTGTGCTGGTCCCTGTGCTGGCCCCTGTGCTGGTCCCTGTGCTGGTCCCTGTGCTGGTCCCTGTGCTGGTCCCTGTGCTGGTCCCTGTGCTGGCCCCTGTGCTGGTCCCTGTGCTGGTCCCTGTGCTGGTCCCTGTGCTGGCCCCTGTGCTGGCCCCTGTGCTGGTCCCTGTGCTGGTCCCTGTGCTGGCCCCTGTGCTGGTCCCTGTGCTGGCCCCTGTGCTGGTCCCTGTGCTGGCCCCTGTGCTGGCCACTGTGCTGGCCCCTGTGCTGGCCCCTGTGCTGGCCCCTGTGCTGGCCCCTGTGCTGGTCCCTGTGCTGGCCCCTGTGCTGGCCCCTGTGCTGGCCCCTGTGCTGGCCTCTGTGCTGGCCCCTGTGCTGGTCCCTGTGCTGGCCCCTGTGCTGGTCCCTGTGCTGGCCCCTGTGCTGGCCCCTGTGCTGGCCCCTGTGCTGGCCCCTGTGCTGGCCCCTGTGCTGGCCCCTGTGCTGGTCCCTGTGCTGGTCCCTGTGCTGGCCCCTGTGCTGGCCCCTGTGCTGGCCCCTGTGCTGGCCCCTGTGCTGGTCCCTGTGCTGGTCCCTGTGCTGGCCCCTGTTCTGGTCCCTGTGCTGGCCCCTGTGCTGGCCCCTGTGCTGGCCCCTGTGCTGGCCCCTGTGCTGGTCCCTGTGCTGGTCCCTGTGCTGGTCCCTGTGCTGGTCCCTGTGCTGGCCCCTGTGCTGGCCCCTGTGCTGGCCCCTGTGCTGGCCCCTGTGCTGGCCCCTGTGCTGGCCCCTGTGCTGGTCCCTGTGCTGGTCCCTGTGCTGGTCCCTGTGCTGGCCCCTGTGCTGGCCCCTGTGCTGGCCCCTGTGCTGGCCCTGTGCTGGTCCCTGTGCTGGTCCCTGTGCTGGTCCCTGTGCTGGCCCCTGTGCTGGCCCCTGTGCTGGCCCCTGTGCTGGCCCCTGTGCTGGTCCCTGTGCTGGTCCCTGTGCTGGCCCCTGTGCTGGCCCCTGTGCTGGCCCCTGTGCTGGCCCCTGTGCTGGTCCCTGTGCTGGTCCCTGTGCTGGTCCCTGTGCTGGTCCCTGTGCTGGCCCCTGTGCTGGCCCCTGTGCTGGCCCCTGTGCTGGCCCCTGTGCTGGCCCCTGTGCTGGTCCCTGTGCTGGTCCCTGTGCTGGCCCCTGTGATGGCCCCTGTGCTGGCCCCTGTGCTGGTCCCTGTGCTGGTCCCTGTGCTGGTCCCTGTGCTGGCCCCTGTGCTGGTCCCTGTGCTGGTCCCTGTGCTGGCCCCTGTGCTGGTCCCTGTGCTGGTCCCTGTGCTGGTCCCTGTGCTGGTCCCTGTGCTGGTCCCTGTGCTGGCCCCTGTGCTGGCCCCTGTGCTGGCCCCTGTGCTGGCCCCTGTGCTGGCCCCTGTGCTGGCCCCTGTGCTGGCCCCTGTGCTGGTCCCTGTGCTGGTCCCTGTGCTGGCCCCTGTGCTGGCCCCTGTGCTGGCCCCTGTGCTGGCCCCTGTGCTGGTCCCTGTGCTGGTCCCTGTGCTGGTCCCTGTGCTGGCCCCTGTGCTGGCCCCTGTGCTGGCCCCTGTGCTGGCCCCTGTGCTGGTCCCTGTGCTGGTCCCTGTGCTGGCCCCTGTGCTGGCCCCTGTGCTGGCCCCTGTGCTGGCCCCTGTGCTGGTCCCTGTGCTGGTCCCTGTGCTGGTCCCTGTGCTGGTCCCTGTGCTGGCCCCTGTGCTGGCCCCTGTGCTGGCCCCTGTGCTGGCCCCTGTGCTGGCCCCTGTGCTGGCCCCTGTGCTGGTCCCTGTGCTGGTCCCTGTGCTGGCCCCTGTGCTGACCCCTGTGCTGGCCCCTGTGCTGGCCCCTGTGCTGGCCCCTGTGCTGGCCCCTGTGCTGGCCCCTGTGCTGGTCCCTGTGCTGGCCCCTGTGCTGGTCCCTGTGCTGGCCCCTGTGCTGGTCCCTGTGCTGGCCCCTGTGCTGGCCCCTGTGCTGGCCCCTGTGCTGGCCCGTGTGCTGGTCCCTGTGCTGGCCCCTGTGCTGGCCCCTGTGCTGGCCCCTGTGCTGGCCCCTGTGCTGGTCCCTGTGCTGGTCCCTGTGCTGGTCCCTGTGCTGGCCCCTGTGCTGGCCCCTGTGCTGGCCCCTGTGCTGGTCCCTGTGCTGGTCCCTGTGCTGGTCCCTGTGCTGGTCCCTGTGCTGGTCCCTGTGCTGGCCCCTGTGCTGGCCCCTGTGCTGGCCCCTGTGCTGGCCCCTGTGCTGGCCCCTGTGCTGGCCCCTGTGCTGGCCCCTGTGCTGGCCCCTGTGCTGGCCCCTGTGCTGGCCCCTGTGCTGGTCCCTGTGCTGGTCCCTGTGCTGGCCCCTGTGCTGGCCCCTGTGCTGGCCCCTGTGCTGGCCCCTGTGCTGGCCCCTGTGCTGGCCCCTGTGCTGGCCCCTGTGCTGGTCCCTGTGCTGGTCCCTGTGCTGGTCCCTGTGCTGGTCCCTGTGCTGGCCCCTGTGCTGGCCCCTGTGCTGGCCCCTGTGCTGGCCCCTGTGCTGGCCCCTGTGCTGGCCCCTGTGCTGGTCCCTGTGCTGGTCCCTGTGCTGGCCCCTGTGCTGGCCCCTGTGCTGGCCCCTGTGCTGGCCCCTGTGCTGGCCCCTGTGCTGGCCCCTGTGCTGGCCCCTGTGCTGGCCCCTGTGCTGGCCCCTGTGCTGGCCCCTGTGCTGGCCCCTGTGCTGGCCCCTGTGCTGGCCCCTGTGCTGGCCCCTGTGCTGGCCCCTGTGCTGGCCCCTGTGCTGGCCCCTGTGCTGGCCCCTGTGCTGGTCCCTGTGCTGGTCCCTGTGCTGGTCCCTGTGCTGGTCCCTGTGCTGGCCCCTGTGCTGGCCCCTGTGCTGGCCCCTGTGCTGGCCCCTGTGCTGGCCCCTGTGCTGGCCCCTGTGCTGGCCCCTGTGCTGGCCCCTGTGCTGGTCCCTGTGCTGGCCCCTGTGCTGGCCCCTGTGCTGGCCCCTGTGCTGGCCCCTGTGCTGGCCCCTGTGCTGGCCCCTGTGCTGGCCCCTGTGCTGGTCCCTGTGCTGGTCCCTGTGCTGGTCCCTGTGCTGGTCCCTGTGCTGGCCCCTGTGCTGGCCCCTGTGCTGGCCCCTGTGCTGGCCCCTGTGCTGGCCCCTGTGCTGGCCCCTGTGCTGGCCCCTGTGCTGGCCCCTGTGCTGGCCCCTGTGCTGGTCCCTGTGCTGGTCCCTGTGCTGGTCCCTGTGCTGGCCCCTGTGCTGGCCCCTGTGCTGGCCCCTGTGCTGGTCCCTGTGCTGGTCCCTGTGCTGGTCCCTGTGCTGGTCCCTGTGCTGGCCCCTGTGCTGGCCCCTGTGCTGGCCCCTGTGCTGGTCCCTGTGCTGGTCCCTGTGCTGGCCCCTGTGCTGGTCCCTGTGCTGGCCCCTGTGCTGGCCCCTGTGCTGGCCCCTGTGCTGGCCCCTGTGCTGGTCCCTGTGCGGGCCCCTGTGCTGGTCCCTGTGCTGGTCCCTGTGCTGGCCCCTGTGCTGGTCCCTGTGCTGGCCCCTGTGCTGGTCCCTGTGCTGGTCCCTGTGCTGGCCCCTGTGCTGGCCCCTGTGCTGGTCCCTGTGCTGGCCCCTGTGCTGGTCCCTGTGCTGGTCCCTGTGCTGGCCCCTGTGCTGGTCCCTGTGCTGGTCCCTGTGCTGGTCCCTGTGCTGATCCCTGTGCTGGCCCCTGTGCTGGTCCCTGTGCTGGCCCCTGTGCTGGTCCCTGTGCTGGTCCCTGTGCTGGCCCCTGTGCTGGCCCCTGTGCTGGCCCCTGTGCTGGCCCCTGTGCTGGTCCCTGTGCTGGTCCCTGTGCTGGTCCCTGTGCTGGTCCCTGTGCTGGCCCCTGTGCTGGCCCCTGTGCTGGCCCCTGTGCTGGCCCTGTGCTGGCCCTGTGCTGGCCCCTGTGCTGGCCCCTGTGCTGGCCCCTGTGCTGGCCCCTGTGCTGGCCCCTGTGCTGGCCCCTGTGCTGGCCCCTGTGCTGGCCCCTG